ACTACATCTGTCTCTGTCCTGCCTTTCAATCCGGTGTTCCACCATTAATACTCATCTTCCCATCGTTAACCCCGCCATCTCCTCCTTTTCCTCAACCGACACCATCTCCGCCGCCCAGATTCACCTCCGTCGCCGCCGAATCGCCGTCACAACCAACAACGACGTTTAATACACCCAACGCGGCGGGAACTCGGCCAAGTCAGCATCGATTGGAACAAACATTGATCGGAAGGAAATTCGTGCGCCGCTGAAAATGAATTCGCGCTCTATCAGAAACGAGATCACGAATTTTGGGCGAACTCTGTAGAATCCGCGTTTCCACGCTCTAAAGCGGGATCGACAACCTAAAAGTGGCGAATTAGGTTACTATAGTCTCGCCGCATCCACCATCAGCTGTCACATCGTAGTGTTTTCTCTAAAAAAAAAACACAGGGCCACGGCAATCGAGATACACGAATATCGAGGCAGACGGATAAGGTCATCCAGAGGAGTCACTGCCCGCGCGACAAAGCGCTCTATCTTCCTAGACCTCCGCTCTAATCGCCCGCCGCGCGATCAGTTAGTCGGGAGCTCCTATCAGATCCACGAAGGAGGACGAAATTAAAGAACGCCAATTTGTAGGAAAGCAAACGACGACCTTCGATCCGCGCCTCTGCCGACAGCGCGCTGACTACCGCCGAGTTCACAGACTCACGGGCTCGTTTCAAACCGCTTGGCGCTTCAATTCGGAAGACCCACTTCAGAATTGGCCGCCCTTGCTACTGACCCTCCGTTCATCACCGCGCCGAGCCATTTACTGCTTCAGTCCCTTGCGCTCGCCCTCCCTAAGTCTCCGACGCGCGTTCAGCCCGTCCCAAAGATAGTAAAAAAAAAAGAACGAGGTGAAGAAGAAAATAGAAGAACACGTCTAAAGAAAGGAAAAAAGAAAGAGACCGTAAAAGAACTCGTCGGCGTCACGGCTCTCCACGCTCAGCTCGCGCGGATCCCCTCTCCACGCTCAGCCCGCTTCGCCAAGGACCCGCGGCCCACATCAGCCAGCCCCGCATACGTCAATCCACTCTCTCGGCCCGCCAGTAACTCAGCCCGCTTCCAAACATCAAGCCCGCCTCTATGCCAGTGAAGCGTCGATCCACTTTCTCGGCCCGCTTCCAAACATCAAGCCCGTCTCCGCGCCCAGTGAAGCCACTTTCTCGGCTCGCTTCCAAACAACAAGCCCGTCTCCGCGCCCAGTGAAGCGAAGCATCACAAAAATCACTCGCGGGTGTGGGGATTCGAACCTTTGTTCGAAGATTCGCGTGTAGGCAAGTTGAACCAGTGGACTACACAGCAACTATTGATCTGAGAGGCGAGGATATCTTATTATATCATCTTCTTTGTCACTTCTCACACCAAGCACACGGCACAGGGGCCCACACAATTCAACTCGCGACCCGAATCCCGCTCAGCTTCCTCGCGTGAACGAAGCCCAAGTCGCGGATCCAAGTCCGCCCCACTGAAGCCCAACTCGCGGCCCGCAATCCATAGACACGGAACTCTTCAAGAAATTATTGTCGCCGCCAGCCTTTGAACCTGCGCCACTATTCCGCCAGGCAAGCAACATCACCATTAGGCTACAAGCGAGCCTTGTATTTCAATGGTGCGGCGTCTGAATTTTAACATTCGCGCCCACTCAGTTCGCAAGAACAAACAATTAGCAATAGTCAAGAACTATTCGCGCCCACTCAGTTCGCAAGAACAAACAATTAGCAATAGTCAAGAACTATTCGCGCCCACTCAGTTCGCAAGAACAAAAAATTAGCAATAGTCATGCACTATTCGCGCCCACTCAGTTCGCAAGAACAAACAATTAGCAATAGTCATGCACTATTCGCGCCCACTCAGTTCGCAAGAACAAAAAATAGGAATAGTCAAGAACTATTCGCGCCCACTCAGTTCGACAAGAAAAAAAGAGAGAGAGAGAGAGAGAGAGAGAGAGAGAGAGAGAGAAAGAGCCTTCTGGCAACCAAGCCACTCGCGGTCGCGGCCCAACAGTGCGCCGCGGTCCGCTCTGCCTTTATCTCTGCGGGAAAAAAAAATGCTTCCGCCACGATTTGAACCAACGCCACTGCATCGCCCTTCAACAACGCTGACCAGTACACCACAAGGAGAACTTGCTCAATAAACTCGCGGTATCTTTTCTTATCAAGAATACACCACGCTTCCAACTAGCAAGCATCCTTCATTCAGTCCGCTCGACCGTTCAGCTGGCGTCCCGCTTCATGTCTCGCACCCCACGTATCCAACTCGCGGCCCACAGTCAGGACGCCCTCGTTAAACGTCCGCGTTATTGAAGCCCAACTCGCGGTCTATCCTTGCCTCCACTCTGCGTCAAAAACAAAATCGTCACAGCCAATACTCGAACCGGCGCCACTCTTCCGCTAGACAAGCAAACAGACCAGCAGGCTACAGCCCGAGTTGTGAATATTTACGCGGCAGCCCTATTTCAGCTACTCCTGCCGCCACTGCGCCAATATAAATCTAAGTACCCTATTCCTCCATCATTATTTAATTTTTAAATATTTTACTATCCTAAGCGTTAATGGCGCTAATGGGGGGCAAGACGCACCCAACAACGTGGGAGATGAGAAACTCACCAAGCTCTTGACGCCTTGAAGACTCCAAACTGAGGGTTAAAAACCCCGACGAGGAGAACTTCAAACTGAGGGTAAAAAAAAACCCCCCGACGAGGAGAGCTCCATGAAGAATCTACAATGGGTGAAGGCTACACGCCTTAATAAAATACACCAACTGGGGGGGCAAGACGCAAGAAGCTGGCACCGCGTCAGTCAAACGCGCCACCAGCTGGGGGGCAACTGGGGTATATAGGGCCCCACCCAAAATTACCGACGAAGATTTAAAAAAATAAAATATAAGCTAGTGATGAGTTAAAACTCACCACCAGCTTGGGGGGGGGCAATTGTTGGGGGTGTTGCTAAGAGACTCCCCACAGAGACTAAGTAATACCGCGTCCAATCGACAACGTATGACGCTCTAAACCCGCTATGAGTATATAAAGGTATGAAACCCACCAAGGAGGGGGACTTCTTCCCTCTCTCCTCACTTTCCACTTTCTACTATCTCTCTACACTTTATCTCTCTATCTATTCTCTCAACTTTCTCCACAAACATACATTGATTTGATCGTCGGAGCTTAATCCGGGGGGCAACCCCGGCTCTTTCACAGGTTCTCTCCCTCCCGACGAGATCGGACGAACGGATGACGAGTCAACCCACACCAACAACTATCATTGTTCGCGTCCTGAGCCCGATGGCACAAACAGCGACCATGCCACTTCTTTGGTGAGTATCTAGCGACGCCTGCGTGCAAAATTTGGCCTCCTCCCGAATCAGGTAGTCCAAAACACTTTCAAACTTCAAGTTTTTCCTATTGAGCATAGTAGCACGCACTGCATCAAAGGCAGGATTGCGGCGCGCCGTAAAGTTAGTGGCGAATAAGAAAGAAAAGTAATTCGGGTGGCAAACGTGAAAGATTTGTATAATTCGAGTGACCAAACGTGTAATTTAGCCATTTTTGGGGTTTTGGGAAGAATAACCAGGTTTCTGGGAAAAGGGAAGAAGACAGTGCAAGTGCGCAATGACGTTGACCCCCTGGAAATTTTTTAAAACATAAAAATAATGCGGGTTTTCTAACATGATACATTAAAAAGATTTTGGCGTAGTGGTGTGGGAGAATCTCTGACGTAGAGGTAACTGGTTCGAAGGTTGATTACAACTGTAGACGCTACTTCATTGTTTTTGCTTCTTTTTTTATTTAATAAAACCAGTTTTCCACCTTATGCTAAAGCTAGATAAAGTATGTTCTATGGTCTCTAACAATATAGCGTTAGATTGAAATGGGAATTTGGATTATAAAACTGATTTTTGTATTATTTGTTTAGGCTTCATGGTTTGTTTTGTTAAATGTTATTATGGATTTGAAATTGACGTAATATGCAATCTTGTAAGAGAGTTTAACCACATGTTGTTCAAGAGAGCGAATCTGTACACGATGGAAAAGTTAGGCACAATTTTATTTCTGATGTTTTTGAGATGAACCTTTTGGTCCTTGAAGGATAGCAATAGCATGGCAGAGACTGAATTCCTTTTATAAAAGCTCCAGGGGTGTTTGAAGCTCTCTATAGTTTAATTACCTAATTCCAAATTCAATGGCTATTTCTTGCTACCTGGGGTGATAGGGTTGTTTCTTGCTACCTGAAGAGGCCAGGCTGCAACATAACATACAGACAATCAACATATCCATATCAGCTTGCTATCCTTGTTTTCTGAAGAGGTCTGTGGCTTTGGATGGGAAAGCGTTTTAAGTGCCCCTTTGAAATTGATTTGCTGGTGCATCAGTCTAACTTACAAAGATGCTATACATCTGTTGACAAGACGGTTCAAAAAAGGAAAATTATTGACCTCCATAAGAAAGGGAATACTGAGGAAAAATAGAGAAGAAAATGGTACTCTTAGCAACTGCTTGCAAAATTTGTCATCTGAATCGCAAACGCAACTTTGGGTATGACTTAATTCATATTGCAGTGGTTTCCAGATCAAATGGATCCTGGTATGTTGTGAAAGAACTTTGTTTTTGTGATAGGCTTATGCTTCTGAGGTACAAAATCTTCTGGTTTCTGGTAGAAAAAAATAAGCTTTACAATATGCAAAAGTTGTCGGGACCTGCACTTGTGCTGCATCACAACTCGGAGATCAGGTTGTGCATCCTTCTTTCTGCTTGCCTTGCATTTTTTTTCTTGTTATCCCTCATCTAGGTAGGCTGATTGTTATTCATCTTTCTGGTGGAATGTTGTTCTACGTTGATACAGACACAGTGAAGCCGATGGAATTACGCCAATTGTTGCCAGGGTCACCTTTGCGGACATTGTCAACAGTCTTCTCGGTGCTGCAGTTGGCACTCTGCAACCTTTGCAGGTCAGTGGCGGAGCGTGCATTATATTTGCTCCATCTTGCTATTCCGAGCATACTGGTATCAAGAAAGATTATTTAAACGATTAGTAGCAACTTCTAAATATTCTCAAACAAGAAAATATAAACCAAGAAATGAATCCATAATAGGATGTTAGACAGAACATTAAAAATACCCCAGTTCTCAAACCATCATCTCAAACTGGCATCCATGATCTCAAGGTCACATTCACCATCATTCACAACCATGACTTGAATGCTCCTCTCAAGCCAGAACAATCTTGTGTTCCTCCCCTGTTAATGGAAAATGAGGCAATCAGTCAAAGCTACTTCAATTCGATTTGTCTAAAGGGAATATAACAACCATATAGAAAGCTACCTCGAGTTCCATCATAGCAATGTACTTCTCCCCTGTTGATAAAAAAAATGAGGAAATCAGTCCAAACTACTTCAATTCGACTCATCTAAAGGGAATAGAACAACTAGATATAAAGCTACCTCGAGTTCCATCATAGCAATGTACTTCTGGATCGGTAGCTGATACTGTCTAATGGAGTTCATCAGTGCTTCTCCTGCAAACAACAGGCGGCAGAACGCCTGACAAGTAATGAGGCATTTGCTAGAGCCTTTCTACTTTCTAGTGTGATCTATAGCACCCATGCTATAAAAAACAAAAACAAAAAAGGTGACCTGTTGGGGAGGTAAACCCACTAAATGACTGGTCCCACATCATTAATGGCAATCTTGTAAATAATAAATCAATGTATGCAAGTGTAGGTACAAATTACAGTTGTACCATATCGTATAGGTACAAGTTTCAGTTGTACCATTGAAGAATTTGTTTGACAAAGTGTAGGTACAACTAAAAATTGTACATAGCGTGTAGGTACAATTTTGAGTTGTACCATAGAGGATTTTGTGAGAAAGTGTAGGTACAACATAAAGTTGTACCATAGGTATAGGTACAATTTTGAGTTGTACCATAGAGGGATTTGTGAGAAAGGGTAGGTACAACATAAAGTTGTACCATGGTATAGGTACAAGTTTAGGTTGTACCCATAGAAGGATTTTGAGAAAGTGTAGGTACAACTTCAGGTTGTACCATTAGTATAGGTACAAGTTAGGGTTGTACCATAGAAGGATATTTAGAAAGTGTAGGTACAACATAAAGTTGTACCACAAGTATAGGTACAATTTTGAGTTGTACCACGGAGGGATTTGTTAAAAAGTGTACGTACAACTTAAAGTTGTACCACAAGTATAGGTACAAGTTTGGGTTGTACCGTAGAAAGATTTTTAGAAAGTGTAGGTACAACATAAGGTTGTACCACAAGTATAGGTACAATTTTGAGCTGTACCATAGAGGGATTTGTTAAAAAGTGTAGGTACAACTTCAGGTTGTACCACTAGTATAGGTACATGTTTGGGTTGTACCATAGAAGGATTTTTAGAAAGTGTAGGTAGAACATAAGGTTGTACCACAAGTATATGTACAATTTTGAGTTGTACCATAGAGGGATTTGTTAAAAAGTGTAGGTACAACTTAAAGTTGTACCACTAATATAGGTACAAGTTTGGGTTGTACCATAGAAGGATTTTGAGAAAGTGTAGGTACAACATAAGGTTGTACCACAAGTATAGGTATAATTTTGAATTGTACCATAGAGGGATTTGTTAGAAAGTGTAGATACAATTTTAAGTTGTACCATAGTGTATAGGTACACTTTTGAATTGTACAAGAAAGGGATTTTTGGGAAAGTGTAGGTACAACTTTGAGTTGTACCATAAGCTTATGTACAATTTTGAGTTATACCATAGAGGGATTTGTTAGAAAGTGTAGGTACAACTTAAAGTTGTACCACATGTATAAGTCCAATTTTGAGTTGTACCATAGAAAGATTTTTAGAAAGTGTAGGTACAACATAAGGTTGTACCACAAGTATAGGTATAATTTTGAATTGTACCATAGAGGGATTTGCTAGAAAGTGTAGGTACATCTTAATTCCACAGCTGTTATTTTGCCAAAATGAGTTGTGAGAACGTTTGAGTGGCAGTTGTGTGTTTCAATTTCACGTGAGATTTTGACGGGCGTGAGAATGTCAAGTAGAACCCGTGAAATTTCTTGGGATAGTGAGAACAGCTCTTTGCATCTCACGGGACATCTCACGACCGTAAGATATAGGTACAAGTTTTGGTTATACCATAGAATGATGTGTTAGTAAGTGTAGGTACAATTTTTAGTTGTACCATAGAGGAATTTATTAGAAAGTGTGGGTACAAACTTTAAGTTGTACCATCGTATAAGTACAACTTAAACTTAGTAGTAATCCAAAAAAAATTAAAATCAATTAGAAAAAATATTGACCATCACATAAAATTCATAAAAATTGAAATTAACTTGAAGCAAATTATATTGTACATGTTGCTCGCTAAATCCTAGTTATTCCCACGAGCTTGGAGTTGAAAATCTCACACCAATGAAATGTGGGTTTCATAGCATATATTGTGTACAAATTGAAATAACATGTCATAACTTAAGTAGGAACAGAGCTAGTAGTACATCAAATCAAATACCATGTAAACAAAAGTAAAGAGCAGCCAAAGCATTACAACTCGAGCTTCAATTTGAGGTTGGGCTCGAAATTGACGCCTCTCCCTTGCTTCTCTTAGCTCCCTCTCCCTTGCAAGGAGTCGGAGGGTGCGGTTTATGTTGTCGTCTCTCGGTATCAAGTCCTCCGGGTTGCTTCAGGTCATAAACCTGAAACCACAAACTCAAACACCAAACCCGTGCCAAGCACAAGTAAGCAAACAAAAACCAATGTTCAAGAAGACGCTAGGCGCTATCTAGGCGAGGAGGCACCGCCCAGCGCCCAGGCCGATTAGTCTTTGCCTAGGCGAGATTAAACGTTGAAAAAAATATATGATAGATAAGCCATATTACACAAAAACTCAAGTCGCCATATCATTATTCATGCATTCATATACACATACAACCCTTTTCCATTATCCCAAACATCCCAAGTCGCCAACCATGAGGAGGGATCTCACTGCTGGTCGATGAGGGGAGCGGTTGGTCAAATGGAAATGGGTAATAGAATAGGGATTGGAATTTTCACAAAAAAACTACACTTTCCCCCTTTATTAGTTGTTTTGGGTGTCGCCCACCAGATTGAAAACTCGCCTCCAAATGCCTAGGTGCCTTGATCAATCGCCCAAGGCTAGACGGGGCGATTTCCTCCTGCCTAGCTATTAATCGCGTCTTCTTGAACACTGACAAAAACACAATGCAGAAAAGTAAATTAGTAAAACTAGCGTAACAAACGACTGATTGAACACAGAAAAGTAGCTGCAATGGAGGTATTCTCAGACTATCATCAATGCATTAATTCGTTGATTGCTTGAGAATGCAACTACAACATCCAGAAGACCAGAACAAGTAGTCATTCAAAGCATGAAAAGGATCACATTCTTAACCTAGAAGGCAACACCATGAGAAAATAAAAACAAACTACGAATTCTTTTGGCTCTTGCAATCACGACCAAAACTAATAAACCCCATTTATGCATAGTTCCATTCAACTTGAGAGTCTATAATTCATAAAAGTTAAAATCACAAAATCTAGCAACAAATCATGTATGTAACAAATCTGGCTTTCAAAATCACATGTTTGCAGATAAGAGAGTTAAGATTGACTATTCAGCAATGAATAAAGCCTCAATATGAATGGATTATATCACAGCTCCCTTAATCTTGACTCGCCCTATATGCCAGGAAGTGAAGTACCAACAAACTACATGGGCATTACTTTCAAAAGGTAGGAACAATTCAAGCAGCTACGTGAACATGATTTCGAAACCAGCCACCTAATTTTAAACCTTACAACAACACACTCTTCACTTCTCACTGTATGAACATTTATTCCATCTGTTAAGCAAATGAAGCAGATTCTATTAAACTTCAATTCCACAGAATCCAAAGTGACTACCTTTGTCCACTATGTTCAAATCAAAACCTTCATGTGTACTGTGTTCAAATCAAAACCTTCATCATCGTCACATTTCCAACCCATATGTCTATCAATTAGTGTGACCAAACGGTCCATTTTACCAGAAAGTTTTTGCTATAGATAGATGGTTAAGCAAAAATGTCAAACCAGAAATGCACCACACGAATCACAAGGCATGAACCACCATCCGTCTCCACTATAAAAAAACTACTAATCACACACTCTAAAATCTGTAGGTATTCTCTGAAATTTTTATCATCCCTCGTATCTAGTAGTTCTTCTTTTATGAGCTTCCCCGGTCCTGACTAATGCAACTATGCTCTTAAACGAAATGCTTATTATGAACAACAATGACTACTCCCTTTGTACCATTTCTACGATACTGGATAAAATGTCATTATTCCTCCCTAATAAAACCACAAGATAGGAATATGTATATGAAAAGGCAAAACCCTAAGCATAGAGCCTTTGTATCTTCATCCACGTGTACAAGAAAGAACGTAAAAACATCAAACATTTATTATGATCAAGATGACCGACTAGATCGATAAACCACCATCACGTCATAACCTTAACTTGATTTGAGTGATATGATCCAGAAAGGTGGAAAGGAAGTGTCAGGAAATGAAAGGAAGATGCAGAAGAAGAAGAGTTGCATATCCCCATAATATGAAAACTAGAAAGGAAAAGAAGCTATAGCTACTTGGTAATCTCAGTGAAGAAGCTACAACACTACTACAAACTATAGCAAGACCACAACGCTTAGGAAGCTTATGGAGGACAAACGTCTAGTTTGAACCAACATACATGACAAATTCCAACCAACTTGAGACTAGTAATGCAAAAGCAAAAGGAAGCAAGAATAAAGATGAAATTGTGAAGAACGAAACTCCTAAACCTAAAGAGTTGTTCAGCTGGAGTCAGAGAATGAGAAGGAGAGGAATGAGTCTGGGAGAAGTGGATATTTGTCACAGAATAGAGTTATTAACTACCAAATACAAAAGAGGCAGAAGATTGTTGAAGATAGTGAAAGCTGTGAAATAACAAAGATGGTTGAGGGAAACAACGGTGAGGCTCCCAATTCAACAATGGCATAACACATTCATTATCAAAAGACTACCCACAAGAAACCAGTTTTCTTTTGATAACTACTCTATCCAACATCACTAATCCAACAACATGCTATGTTTAGGAATCACAAATTAACCACAAGAAGCTTGTGTTAGTGAACTACAGGGAGAAATCCTTCCCCGGAAAGCAATCTACTGATTCATTTCGTCGAATTAGAAAGAGAAGCATGGAATTGAGGGAGTGGGTAACACAGATCGTGAACAACAACAAGTTCTTTACCCTAACTAACTTGAACCCATGTCAGAAATCGAATGTCTATCAAGGGTAATCATAAATTCAGTCACTTACATGGAATGAATGACTAAGACTGCAGCTCTATCACCCAATTCTCGCTATTGCAGAAGTTCTACCGCTGGCGCCAACTCAGTCGTCGTTTTGGATTAAGCTTCCTAGTCTTCGATTCCTTATGCACAAATCCAGCTCTT